GGGCAGCATTGGGTTGGGATGTTTTCGTGATGCACATTTTCTTTACATAAAACTGTCTTATACGTGAGTTGCTGTGGATTTGTTTCTCCAAAGTACCCAGACTAATACAATAGAGTTCCTATTTTTCCATCAACTTTAGTTGGAATCTTCATTGCTCGTGAAAGTCCAGGGAACTAGGTACTTCACATACCCATTATTGTTGGTCAGGAGCCTTACTGTAAATGCAAAAATAAAAAAAGGGCGGGGCAAGAATGCTAAAATGCCCTGTGACCCAGTAATTCTCTTTTTAGAAACTACAGTTACAGGAATTTTCTGGGGAAAATGTTCCACAGAAATATCCACGAATGCCCTTTGATAAATAAATGCTGAAAATAGGCATAGTATTTTACAGGAAGGTAAAAGCACTTGTAATCATTCCCAAATGGCGTTTAAAAACTCATGCAATTTTAAACGAAAAACAGCTACAGATGAATGCAGCATGATCACTATAGTGGTAAATAAGCAGCAAGTACTGAGAGTGAAACGTCCAGAAGGAAACAGAACAGAATGCTAAGTGGTCAACAACGTGTAGAACCATGGGCTCTTTTTCTCTCCTTTTCTATATGACTCACATTCACTCGTCTATGTTACACACATTTAATCATACAAGGAGCATATGTCACTCTTGGCATGGGAAATAACTTTATTCTTTTTGAAACTATCATTTTAGAAAGAAAGAAAGAAAACCTAGTGACTGACATTACTATTCCAAAATACTGTGTCAACAAATAAAATACAAGAGTATATATACATATAAATGATTACCTCATGCCTTAGGGTTTCCTTTGGCAAAGCTTCCACCACAGACAGAAGGGTTTCCAGCCACGCGTTACTGACAGCTGATTGACAGATACAACAAGCTCAATTAAATAGCTCACAAATTCTGCTTCAACTCAGCCCTTAATAGTTACAATAACATCGGATGATCACATGAAGCCAAGGATTCATATAAATATTCTAAAAAGTTTCACTCTTTGTCCTAGGATCTGGAAAAAATGATTGGCTTATATCTTCAAAAATAATATGTGGGAAGTATCTTTAACTCAAGCACTGCATTTTGGCTGAATGGTAATACTATATAAACCTAAATGCTGTAAGATGGTAAAACCATATCAGAAGAAAGTACATGAATCACAGGATGAACTAATGAGCGCTCAGCTTCCAAAGACAGTGAACTTGGCACTCTTACAAGGAGACAGCCCTGGCTACTAAGTCAAACCAGTGATCAACTTTGGGTATTATGGTCTCATTGGGTTATCTTCATCTGGCAAACAGGTTTTAAAGTGATATCATGGCCCCCACACAAGCATCAATGGCTAAGTAGATAATGAAACATGCCCAGCCCCTGACCTGCATCCCGGTGCTCCAGATGCAGTAGAATGATTTGTAGGAAGGAGTGGGCATATGCATGGATTGACACTGATTCTTCCTGCAGGATGGTCAGAAATGACACCGCAGCTGTTAACTGCATTTCCACCCCTGCAACACGCAGGACTTCCTGTAGAACCAGAAAGAGTTTGCTGTTTACATAGATGGGAGATCAGAATTATCAGTGTTAAAACTCCAAGGGCATATTAGCCAAAACCATTCACAGAAGATATTTTAGGATGTGCACGTCCTTATACAACTTAAGTTCAAAAAACAGTATTAAGCTACTCATGTTTGTATTCTTCAAAGCACCACACATAATTTAAGTGTCTCAGGAACTGTTCAACTAAAATAGCATCCTATGTGCTTTGCTGAATGACAAATAACAACAGTACATAAACACTATGATAACAGAGTAGGTGTTTTTGATAGATCTCCATTCCTATTGTGCTGTCTGAATTATACAGTTTGTCATCCTACCCAGAACTGTAATGTCAAAGCTTCAACCATCATATGATCTAATTATTTTCTACTGCAAAGAACAAAGACGATGGATTCTACCACCAAAAAAAAGATACACTTAAGCTCTTGCGAATGGGTTTACTTTTCTACTTTAAATAACTGATAGGAATATAAATTATCATGATGTAAGCGGTTTTAAAAATCAATTTATTAAACTGATAAGTACAGATACTACACTTGATCTTAGCCAAAAGGCCGACAATGGATGTATGTATGGATTGTGATAAGAGTTGTACAAGCCCCCAATAAAATGATTTTTTTAAAAGAAGATAAATATAACAAATACTACCCCAAAAAAGAGAAAAAAATCCATTTATTAACAGAATTTTCAAAAATGTATAATCAGTCAGCTCAATTCCCTATGCAATGAATTTTAAAACGCATAAACAAAGTTAAAATCTCCATGAGGTCATCAGTCTGCTACCCACCGAACAGACAAAAACAAAAACCAGCCTGTTACTAAGCCCACAAAGATATTACCTGTCTCTAGAAGTTAAGTTGTATAAGTTTAGCTTCAATAACTCTTTGTTTAATTATGAAAATCTCCCCCTATATGTCCATTTTATAAGGAATGTAGCACGATTTGATATAATTAGTTATACTAGATGACTGCTGTCATATAACAAGTTTTATGATCTCTGGGAAGTTAGTATTACTGAGTTATCACCTAATGTATAAAATGTGAACTGTAACATCATCTTGATAGAGATTGTATAAACATTCCAGTACAATACAATAAATGAAAACACTAGAAAAGTTCTAGGTAAGTTCGTTTACACAGAACTTTTGAGTTGGCAACTTATTGTGAAAAATGAACATTTTAATAGCAACCGTTGTCCATCTGAGCTAAAGGGAATCTCTAGTTCATCTTGCCCCAAATTGAACTCGCCTCTCCCACAAATGTGCTCCTCCTGGAAGCTTCCTCATCGCAGTGAACAGTGAACGGCAACTCTACCCTTCCCATTGCTAAGCCCGCATTCTTGACTCTCCTCACTCACTCCAATCGAGTCCTCAATAAATCTTATAGGGCTCAACCTTCAAAATATATCCAGAATCTGACCACGTATTACTTCTCCTACAGCCACCCTGAGCCAAGCCATGCTGCTCTGTTGTTGTTGGGTGCCATTGAGTTGATTCCGACCATTGCGACCCTTGTCCAACAGAAAGAAACATTGCCCCGTCGGTGCTACCCTCACGAGTGTTCCATGCTTGCTCTATCATCCCGGGTCTGGAAGACTCCAATTTTTTTAAACTAATCCTTGCTCTATCATTACTCCTCTACTCGTCATTCTCTATACAGAAGCTAGGGAGGGTATTTTAAACTATACACCCAACCAAGTCACTTCTCTGCTCAAAACTCTCCAACAGCTTCCCAGTCCAGCTATTCCTCTTCTCCAGTTGTGACCATGGCTGGATTCCTGACTGCTTTTCGATGAAGCCTTCCCTGATCACCTCATCTTGAACTGAAAACCAGCCCTTGGCCCCAGGACTCACCATTCCCACTGCAGCTTTTTATCCATAGCACTCACCATCATCCATACACTACATATTTATTTGGTTATTGTCTGTCCCCAATAATTAAACATGTCCTTCACAAGTGCAAGAATATTTATCTGTTTTGTTCATTTTTATATCCCTAACTCTAGCCCATGGTAGGCATTCAATAATTACTGAATAATCAAATCTCTGATCCTTTCACCAAACTTTCTGCTTTTGCTACTCTCTGTAGACATATATTTGCCTAGTCTTTTAAAAGATGGCTTCAAGAGATACTTTTAGGTCACTCTGAAGCATTAATGAACGAGGCTGCAAGCAAAGTGACACTGGCCGCATAGGAATGCATGCCTGGGTCTTTCCTCTCATGAGAACAAGATGTCTCTGGCCCAGCAGTGCTGAGAACATGGGTGATCATGATTCAGCGTGTTGAGAGCACTGTCAGTCATGGTACTATGAGATAACACAGATAATCTCAAAGGAATTTTCTAGTAAAAGAAACAGACTCAGAGAGATCGTGCATTCTGCTAAAGGGCCATGGGCTAACTAACCATCAGCAACAAGAAGATGCGGAAGCACACCTAAGCACCAAATTCTTCCTGACAGAGTCCACACTTCCTTTCACTGCTTATTTTACAACTTGGTTTCAATCAAGACAAGCCTGGTGGTGGTGGTGGTGGTGGTGGTGGTGGTGGTGGTGGTGGTGGTGGTGTGTGTTTTGCAGGGGTGTGTGGAGGGGTCTGGCAATAGCCAAAGTTATATAATACATTTAATTCCCAGAAAACCTATTAGGGTAGCCCATAATGACTTTGTTTTGCCTTAAACATATATATCACATGGCACAAAAATTATACAAGTTTTTCAACCAGTAATCAATAAAATCCTAAGAAATCTTAACTGAAAGCAAAAGCGAAGGAAGGAGAAGGGGAAGACAAAACAGAAGTAGCCACTGGTCTCTGAAATCAGCTCTCCCCTTGCCCCTCTTTGTTATACCTTTTAGCCCCCCAAACAAACATTTGTTCCATGTTATAACTAACAGTTTTGGATTTGGAAGACACTTTTAAGAGATTTGATGTGGCCAGTATATAGACACCACTTACAGAATTCAGAAGACACTGCTTTTATTTAGAAACAGAAAGGGCTTTGCAAAGAAGTATTGGACAAGACTGTGAGGGCCACAATGTACATTCACATGAGTCTGCTGTCTTTAAGCACCAAAGGCTGTAATTGCCCACCCCCCCCTTTAAAGTCAGTACAATCCTGGGTTTTGCACATATGCAAACTTTATACAAAAGAAGAACAGGAGAAGGCCTCCACGATCACATCTTCTTACTGTATGACTTAATCTTCATTCCCGCAGCAACACTGGCCCCCACTATTTTGTACTTAATTTTCGAAAAATCCTCAAGTCTTATCAGGATTTGCGTTTTTCTCTTGTGCTGACTTCAACATCTGGGACTGTCCACTGTTAAGAAACCAGCACAGACTAAGAAGCTTCATCACTACTAAAAGGCAGTTGATTGCTCAACATAATCTCTGAAGTAGAATACAGTAAGAGATTGATACTTACCGGTCAGTGTTCTCCTCCACAGAGTCACACCCTCGGGACAAACATATGTGAGGTCCATACTCTCGGGATTAATAAGTGTGCATCCTCATGGACCTTGGAAGACACTGAAAAGTAAATTCCTCTATTGCTTAAATGCTTGCCTTCATGCCAATTACTGTTCCTCTTACATACTAGAGTATGGCTGGCATCCCAACCTGAATTTCCTCACAAATGAAATGAGATATCCACAGATGGGTTAATGGTGTGTTCCCAAATTATGAAAAGCCCCACTCAAGCAAGGAAAATGTGCTAAATAATTCTGTCTTTAAATTCACCTTCAGTTAGCCAAGACAGGGCAACAGAGCATGCTATAGAGCAGTGTGGGGCATTCTCTGCTGAGACGGACAGCACGCCCTGACCTCCAGGAGAGAGCTCTCTGCTCTGCACACAGTAAGTAGAGAGGCAGTCACTAACCAGTGATTAACTCTAAAACAGCAAAGATTTTGGATTCATGCATTTTGACACTAAACTTATTGTACAGAATTTGTAAATAGGTTTACCATAAATGGTGTTGCTAAAGAGAAGATAGTTCGAAAATTACAAAGGACCTCTGAGGGGGTTATATTTTGTGAGATGCTATAATTGATTGTATTGAAATTAAGTAATAAGGGCCTAAAAATTTAAACAGGAAGTCCTAGTACATAAGAAAATACCTAGGGTTTTTAGGTCACAAATGTGGGGTTTTTAGTAACTAACAACAACTCCAAGCAACTGATAATAACTAACAGGAACTAAATGTAAATGACAGGAACTAATAGTCACTGACTAACTAACAGGAACTAATAATAGGTAGCATTTAGCTAATTTTTTTTTAATTATGCTATTTGGGGGCAGGAGTGGAGAGTAACCAGCAATGGGAATCTATTTCTATGCACAAATTTCTTTTCATTTAAAAAATGTATTTATAAAAATCTTTAAACTGATGTAAATATGAATAAGCAGTACATGACAATTCTAAGGCGTCTTTACTATTTAACTACAATATTTTAATATTTCCCTACCCAAATGCCACATGTCGCACTGAAAATGGGCAGAATAAGGTGAGAATGTTGAAAATCAAAACCTGTGAGGGAAAGTAAACTGGAGACAATAAACAGAAAAAACAAGGAGATAAGTGTTACCTTTCTTGCAATTCATATGTCAGTGATTAGCAAAGTTTGTGAGAAAGTACACATAAAAACACAAGGAGGTCCCTTTTTCTACAGGAAACCCCAGTACTAATGTTATCAAATAACAACTGTAAATATATAATGAAATACCCTGCCATGCAGAATCACAAACATACTAAAACAAATGAGCACACAGAGTACACCACCAAGGCTTTAATAACTGATGTTCCTGCTGGATTATTTGCTAAGTCATTTTTACGTACAGTACCTTACAATCATGGGTAATTTCAGGATAACGGCTTAAAACTGTCAACAAGCAACAATTTAAAACTTTGCAAAGAAAAGACCTGTTAGTCAGCTTCCAGTAAGGGGTTGATCTCGACAGACTTACTGAAT